ATTACCTGAGGATCTATTAAATGTTTGCTTGAGATTGTTGTATGTCAGCAGGGGTATTTTTGTCCATTCATCCCTCAGCCTGTACTTCATGCCACGCGTCTGACTCTCTTTGGTTGAGAGTTTTGTTTGTTCTACCATTCTGGCCATGTTGTGCAGAGCACCCTCATGATCCCTAGTCTAGTCCAAACTGATCAACTGTCAATCAGTAGCCTCTCCAAAAGCTGAAGACATGTGCCAAGACCAAAGTTTCAGTAACTACCCTTGGAATCGAGGACACGTGGCTGCCCCGAAGTGGAGGTACCCTCGGACTCGAGGACACGTGTCTGTCATAGAAGGGGCATACCTTGGCATCGAGTACCGCGTCTGTGGTAGAACAACAGGTGTCTTTGGAGCCAAGAGACATGTCCCTCTTAGTACGAAATATATACCCTCAGCGTCGATGACACACGTCTTCATCAGAATACACGATATGCCCTTGGTACCGAGGACACGTGTTGGTGATCTTGTCTCTTCTCAGAAGTGTCCCATCAATAACATGACAAATTTGACCCTTAAGCCTTCTCTACCCTTCAACCCAAGGTGTGAAAAGCATAGAAAACGGGTGTCTGTGTGTTCATATGAATGATTGATATTTTTGTGTTCTAAGAGAACCAGTCAAAAAGAAGTTAGTCACTTAAGACTAACGGATGAATTTATCAAAACTGTAATTCTCCTCCGATAATAGATGAAAATAGTATCATTTGATAAACATAGACCGATCATAGTCTCTATGCAAAAGAAGAGAACAAAAGAGATGACTTTAAAATTAGGAGGATTACACTTACAGAGGTTTGTCACTTAAGATTATTGTTAAAATATTAGGTGTAATTGTACTGGAGGTCCCCAATGTATGGAGTTTGTCTTATTTTGGTTTTTAATATTTAAATTTCATCATTTTGGTTAATGAATTATTGAATATGATTTTATATGGTCTTTTAAGCAGACAATGTCCAGATTGCTAATAATTTTTTTATCACAAACTTGTCACATAATACTTAAATGTGGACAAAAAAATAATTTGGATAACTCATGACCAAATTTCTACTCAAATTTTGGTTAAATACCTACTTAAATTACACAATTTTAATCATGAGCTATCTAAATTTTAGTCAAAAGTTACCCATATTACACATTTGTTTATCAAGAGCTACCCAAATTTTGTTTAAGAGCTATCAAATTATTTTTTGTCCATATTTAGATATTACGTGACAAATTTACGATAAAAAATGTCAGCAATCTGGACGTTGCCTGCTTGAAGAACAATATAGAAACATATTCAATACTTAAGGAACTAAAATGATATAATTGAAATATTGAGGATCAAAATAAAACAAACCTCATACTTTGGGGACCTCTAAAGCAATTATCCCAAAATATTATATGCATACCTTTAAAGCTTATAAATGTATAATATTTATACCTCTTAAGATTACAATGTTATACTTAGATTAAAAATATTCTAATCAAAGAAATACTAAAAAATATTTTAAATTTTAAAATAAAAATTCATGTTCTATTGTATCATTTATTAAAATAAAATAAAAATAAAAAATCAATTTTTTCTTAAAAATTGTAATTAGTATATAATTATACTATCTATTGTAGGGTCTAAGCCATTCATAATAGAACATGATTTTACAACTAAAATTCACGTTCTATTATGTCATTTATTAAAATAAAATTAAAAATAAAAATAAAAATAAAAATCTATTTTTTCTTAAATAATCATAATTAATATACAATTATATTATCTATTAAAATAAAATTAAAAAATAAAATAAGAGATCAAACCGTAATAGACCCAATATATTTAGTTTTAATTGGGGTAATTTAATAATTTAATTTAGTTATTTAAATGATCAAATTAAACTCCAATATATAGTATAATTGTATATTAATTATAATTTTTTAAGAAAAAAATTAGATTTTTATTTTTAATTTTATATCAATAAATGTCATAATATAACATAAATTTTGGTTATAAAATTTAAATTATTTGATATTTTATCTTTAATTAGAGTATTTTTTGTCTAAGTATAACATTTTAAACTTAAAGGGTCTAAATATTACACGCCTACAAATTTCAGTGGGTTTAAATGTAATCTACGAACGGACATTGACGACAGGATCTAAGTGTTATGTGTGTACAAACTTTATAGGATCCGTATATAATATTTCAAATTTAGAGAGATTTGAATGATTAAATGACAAATCTCAAGAAATTTGAATGTAATTCTTCCTTAAAATTATTTTGCCTCTTCCGAAAAGTTAATATAAATAGATATCCAATCACATCATGAGCGTAGAACAAACTATTATTCCACTGTTAAAAAAAAGATGTTTGATTTTAAACTTGTATTCCTTTTAATATGTTTTTTATTATGATAACTCGTACTTAATGGTCCAAAGTGAGAAATGATGGATTGAATAGATGTATAAATGCTTTCAATTTGCATGAATGAGCACATAGTACTAACGGTGTAGGTGGGCCACAAAAACTTATTTTTGGGATATTACATTGTTATTTTATATTTAATAAAAAATTATCATGTATATAATATTTCTTATTTTGTTATCTTATTTTACTAAATTATTTCTATATATTCATCATATTAAGATTTGTGATTCCTAATCAATTTCGATATTGTACTAAATTTTTTTTGGAGGTACTATAGGCTTATCCTTGAATAATAAGAGAATGATGGTGGGGGTGGTACCACCTCGATTGCTTGGTCATTAGAACACTTTATTGTAATTCTTCTAGCGGGAGTTTGTGTATAGAGTGTCATCAATGTAGGTTTTATTTGCATATAACAATTGCCTATTATTTATTTCAGTGAGAGTTATAGTATACAATTGAATTTCTCACTAATATATGACAGATGATTTAGTAAGACATAAAATAGAAAAAAAAATTGTGTATCAAAGAGGATCTTGATCACACCCACAAAAAGTTACATTTTATTCAAAAAAAAAAATGAAATAGGTGTTTCAAGACTCATTACATCATTAAATTTCTTTAAATAATTACTTAATTTCTGTAATTGAAATAAAAGAATGGCAATACTATTGTGGGTGAAATATGTTAAATCAATTAATATTGTATGAGTAATGTTTACACATTTGAAATTTCTTATATTATTGACAAATAAAATGACTAAAACTAAGGACTAAATGATGTAGCATTACTACATAATGATGAAATATAATATCAAAATATTGTAGATCACCACAAAAAGAATGCCAAAAATGTATTCTTTAACAAGAAACCAAGATCCGAATTAAAAGTTAATATATTTGGTTTCTATCCTTTGTAAGATGCATTCTTATAGAAATCCTCAAGAGGGTGGTGCTTCCATCCTTGCAATTGTCCATAAAGCTAATTATTTTATAGAGCATAAAGCATGAGATCAATTGCAGAATAGAAAGAAATATAGGCATTCCGACGCCATTGAATTTTATTGATATCAACAACCAATGTGATCACCAAATTTTAGATATATAAGCGACATGTTATTTCGTTTTCTTTTTGGGAAATGGGCTATCCAATATCTTCTTGAATAAATTACATAAATGGGCCTTAAATTATGATCTTTAATGTCAAATTAAGTCTATGAACTAATTTTGGTGTCGATACAACCTCTAAACTCTAAAATTTTAGTAATTAAGCTTTTTTGTTGACAATTGTAGAATTTTTGGATGAAATGTCTCATGTTATCACCACATGGACAATAGATCGGGGGTATTTTAGACTATTCATTCAAAACCTATTAGACGAAGAACTTTATTCCTACCCATTAACCCAAACCGTAAACTTAAATCTTTTTCATACCAATTAAATAAGTAGATCAATAAGTTCTTCTATCTAGTGTAGAAAACATATTACATAAATGTAGGCTCTTCGAAGAGCTTGATGATCTGCTTCATTTGAAGGGTATGAAAGAGGTTTAGATTTAGAATTTCAGTTGATGGGCATAAAGAATAAAGTTCGTTGTCTGATATGTTTCAAACAAATAATTTAAAATACACCTAATATGTTGTCCATATGGTGAGCAAATGACACATTTCATTCAAAAACCTAACAGTTATTGACAAAATGACTTAATTGTTAAAATTTTAGAGTTTAGGGGATCAATTGACACAAAAATTAGTTTAAGGGCTTAATTGTTAAAATTTTATGAGTTTAAGAGTTCAAGTGACGCAAAACTTAGTTCAAAGGTTAAATTGACACAAACATTATAGTTAAACGGCCATGTATATAGTTTACTCTCATATTTTTTGAATGGTATGTGATAGATTAGACTTAGTATGTGTAGATTGTATTCGATAGCCTGGATTTACAGATATTGTTGATCAATCTCACATTGTCCTGCTCAAGGAATGGTCCCCTTACAATTTGAGCTAGTACTTTCCATTTCTAGGCTTCTAACAGTAGATTTGCTATGGTTTTTGAGTATCAAATGGTAGGCGGTTTCAGTGTAATTGTTCTTTTTCTTCCATGGCTTGAAACACAACATAAATAGTTGGATTCTATTATTTTACAAGTGATTGATTGCTAGAATTATGATCAATCACTATTAATTGAAAAAAAAAAAAGAAATAAAGGAAATTCTCTTTCCCGAAAAAGTTTCTTTCCTGAACAGTAAAGAAAGAAAAAATTTTCTTTCCATGGAAAATACAACCTAAGATAGTGACTAAAAATATTTCCCATTACATAGTGATCCTGCATGAGAGAAACGCACCAGCTGGACAACAAGTACCCCCCCCCCCCCCCCCCCCCTCTTCCTGTTTTTTCTCTCTTCGTAATAAATTAACATATATGTCACCACCACACAATACAAAGCAGACCATATACACTTGTGAATAGTGCACAGTTCCCAATTCCCACCATCACAACCTTGATGGAGGACAATGGCGCACTGTCACCCTCAATGCCGGTGCCACTGCCACTGCCACTGCCGATGCTGCGGTGGGGTCATTACGACGGCGATGACTACGCCGCGCACGGCCAACTGGCGGTTGTTCCCCAAACCACCACCACCACCACCACCTCACGCTTCAAGCTTCCTGACGGGTGGCGCGTGCAAAAGGTTCTCCGTTCTGACGGATGTCGAATCGACAAGGTCCGCATTTTCTTCTCTTCATTCACTCCTCTTCTTAGGTTCTACAAATTCCACATTTTGCTGAAGATTTTAGCCATCTTCTGTATTTATACGTGTATGTTTGTGTACATCTTTCTGCATCGATTGAGTTTCAATAGTTGATAGTGGAAAAAAAATTGAGTACAAGAATGACAAAATTATTGAAATAGTAAAATTAATAGAACAAAAAGACACAAAATTACTTTTTCTTAGTATGTTTTAATTATATTTATAGTGAAATACAATGTTTTTTAAAATTCCTAAGATTTTTATATTTATTTAATTATAAGAGTTAGAATTCTCACTAATTTCCTACCAATGCAAATAGTCATAGTGTCCCATAGTAAAATTATTTTTTAATAATTTAGTTGAGATCATTCTCAAGCTCATTGAGAAATTTCATATTTAAATAAACATAAAATGTTTTTGTGTTATAGCATGTAACTTTTTGCATCCAATCATGTTTTATTGACTATAACATAGACCAAAGAATAATAATTAGCAAACAACAGGCATACAATTGTTTCTAAAAAATAGGAAGCAGTGTATTAAATGGAAGGGAATTATTGTCTTTTTTTCAATATATATAAATAGATCATAATATTTGCATCTAATTTACTCACTCAAAAAGGGAAAAAAAATATTTTAGGGGGTAATAGACCACTAATTTATTGGGGAAAAAAAAGACTAGTACTTTAATGAAACTTTTCAAAAATTTAAGGGGACAAATGTAGTACATTGGATAACATTATGGGGACCTAATCAAAGATAATCCAAAAGTGAGGGGGCAAGTGCCTACCCTAGGCCCAAGGTGGCTCCGCCCTTGTTCACGCCCTTTGCATCCAATGCCAAGGTGCGATGATTTACTTCACGGGGTTGGCCGAACCAGGGAAAAGAATAAAAGAAACATTTGATTCCTTCATGCATACTCCACTTGGCATGGGGATATAGGTCAGTTGGTAGAGCAATTGACTAAGAATAAACTCAATTAATTGTAACTTGACTTTAAAAAATATGTAATTTAAGAACTTATAATTTGACATTTAGAAAGTTGTAACTTTTTGGCTCTGATGTCATTCCCTTCGTGTAATGGTTTAAGTTAAATTATGTTCTTTTTTTCAAAGATGTTTCACAATTGTGTGCTGCAAGTGACAAACTGGGCAAATGTTTTCTTGTTGCACAGTATTACCACGAGCCAGAGACTGGACACAAGTTTCGATCCCTTAAAGAAATCGAGAGATATATAAAAGGAGAAGTGTATAGACCAAGACAGAGGTCATTGAAGGTGAGATCAAGAGACTTTTTTTATGACTGAAATCTGAATAACAAGTTGGTTAGTGCTTTTGAGCTTTCACCATCTTTTAATTGTGCTCTTTTTTTTCACCCTTCACAGAATTCTGCTGATAGGAGGGCGTTCGGTTATGGTAGAAAGGTAATGAGTTTAATCTGCTATTGCATCAACTCAAGGGAAACTGTTCTTACTGGCTGGAGGAGATAAAATTTAGGGGGTGTCAATTCGTGTCGTGTCGTGTCATTTAGAGTCGTGTTATGTTTGGGTCGTGTTCTTGTCAATGTTTGTGTCGATAATAAAAATAATAATCCTAAGATAGACAACTCGTAAAATATTATGTAAAGAAATTAAAAAATAATAAAATATCTATTTACTCTATACAATACCACATGTAATTCGTATTTTTATTGAATTCTATTCCTATCTATTTATTATTCATGTTAATCGGTCGTGGCGGGTTCATGTTCTGTTGGTGTCGATTGGTAAGATACATTTTTTTTTAATAGAATCTGTAACAAGAAGTTGCTTTGTTTCCTTTAACTTTGATCAAATTCTTTTTGCCTTTAACAGAGTATTGGTTCTCGGAAGATGATCATTTCTGGTGGCAAGGTAAAGACTTCAACTTCTGATTCTTTCAGACCACTAGGCACCTGTTCTAAGAATAGCAAGGTTCCTACAGGTCCTGGAGAGCATACTTGGAGACTGCTTCTATGTAAATAGATTGTTCTAGAATCCATAAAATATATTCTGAGAGAAGGTATCTGTGAAAGATCGAACACCACAGTGCTTGTCTAATTTTGATCATTTAATTTTTCTAACATTTTTGCTGCAAGATGTGGCCATTATTGCCAAATGCTGAGAAAATTCGAATATATTCTCCTACCCTATTTTTTGCATCTGTGGTTCCAGGAACCAAGTTAATACTTACTTCTAGGCAGATTCTATTGTATGACTCCATTTACTGGAGAATTCCAATATGCTAAATAATGAAACAATGTAACAGATCTGATATCAGTTTTGATTAGCAGAGAAATAGAGCAAAGTCAGATTTTAAATATATTAAGAAACCCCTACAAGGGAAAGCCTTCTAAAGTTACAACTTACAACAAAGGCCTAAGATGGAGTCTGATCCTCATAGTAATGTCAATGCCACTGCAGATGTTGAAGCTGGATGAGGAGGTATACAATCATTGCCAAATGGCTGTGGTGGGCCAGACAATGGTACGCACCTCGCCTTTCAATCTCCCTGATGGTTGGGTTGTGGAGGAGGTACTCCGTCGGTGTGGTGGCTCTGCTGACAAGGTACTGACCTCTCCTGATTACTCAAATTCTCTGTTTCATGTATTTAGCAAACAAAGTTTGTAAATATTGCTGGCACTTGATTTTTTTCACTTCAGCTTTGTGTGTGATTTTGAAAGCTAGGTTTTTTAAATGGTTTTCTCTAATGTGATAGATGTATAAATTTTCTGGATAAATACACTTGACTGTATGAATGGATGGAATGTATGGGCATTCATGTAACTAAATTAGTTCGTCATTGTTCTTTCTCTCCTTTACTAGTTTCTTGAGATACAATCTTACAATTGAACAGAGGACAACAATTTGGATGAAATTTCTCAAAAATGAAGAAATTGGTACCATTTGGATGTCCCTGGACTTGAATGCCTCCATTCTGATTTACATAGGATTAGTATGAAATCCTATGATCTGGGCCAAGTCATAGAGGGCCAATAGGAGCCTCAAGGTGTACGCCAGACCGGTGGTCCATTGCAATCATAATCTCAGTTTTTCAGTGGTTAAGTTTTTACAATCATCTGCAAGATGACCATGGTTTTCTGCAATGAATTGTTCATATGATGCATTTCTAGCTTTGAGGACCAAGTAATCAATACAGCAGAATAGTAAGCAGTAGTCACAAGCCAGAATAATCAGACACAGGTAGGAGCCCCATAGTCTATGAGGACTAATGTTGCTTAGTGCACTCTAAATCATTAGAATAGTACCATAGGATATTATGTCGTTAGAAAAGCAAATGGGAAGGGGCACATGCAACTGTAGGTTAAAAATTAATACACTTCCCTGTCACCATGCCAGGTTCTTGTGGTCTACTGGTATGTTCAAAAACCACTTCAGAAACTTCTGCTATATTCCTTATAGCTATGGACACCAAAATCCTCCAATCACTGCTACTGGTATGATCCGACAAATCTATTTCCATAAAAACTCATAGGACCTGCATGAGCAATCTCCGAAATAAATATTTTTCTTCAAGGAAATCTATCAACACCCTGCGACAATAAATTTCTTAACCAAATCTTACCGAGACAAAAAGCAGCAGCAAGGACTCATTTTCCGGTTAACATCTCATGCACATGTATGATTGGCTTCTCTGAGTTCGTTTTGATGCAAATTTAGGGTAAAGTCCGTTCCCACAATTATCAATGTATAAATTATCAGAAATTTTAGATGACTAGCTGTTCATATGCTACCATGTACGCATTTCTTAAGAGTGTCACACTATGGAACCTCACTTGAAATAACCTACAGTTCAGAGCCGTGTTTCTTACAACTACTCTTTGTTGGATTTTTCATGAACTGGTGAAACTGAAAGTCAGAAACTTGATAAACTTTATCATGTTGTGCAGTACTACTATGAGCCGGGGACTGGACGGAAGTTTCGATCCCTGATAGCTGTTGAAAGACACCTAGCAGGACAGACAGAAAATGCACCACTATCCATGGGACTAGCAGAACATACAGAAAATGCACCACAACCCATGGCACTTGCAGAATTTAATGAAAATGTTCCCCTGTCCATGGCATTCAAATTGGGAAATCATATAAAGGTGAGTTCCAGAGTTAACTTGGTTTTCAGCTGAAGATTGATACAGTGATCTTTGACCCTTATGTTTCTCTTGGCCTATCAAATTGATGCTTATTTTGCCTTCGCAGAATCCTAGTTCATCGAAGAAAAACATTTCTAGAGACAAGGTTCAATCGTCAACATTTACCAGCCCCCCAGTGAAAATCAATTGGGTTCTTGCTAGTCCTGGAGGGGATTCATGGAACCCTTTCATCGGTGAAACACTGGTTCCAGAATCTGTAAAGCAGCAATGGGCCCAAAGATTTATGTTATACATCAACAACAGTAACCACGACGCACCAAATTCTGGATGAGTAAGGTATCTTTATTATGCTGCATTTAGAACCATTTTCTATACCTTACACTATGGTTCCCACTATGGCATAATGTCCTATTCAGTCGCTTAGATTAATAATAATGCTTCAGTATATTCATTGTTAAATGAAGAATTTTATATGCATCTCAGGTAATGGATATGCATCCAACATGATCATAAACAGCTTTTATGGTACCTGCAAACAGCCTGGTGGATATAAAATTGTGAGAAGGGGTCAACATTAGCAATTTTCGCATGAAAATTGAAACCTTCCTCTATTTGATTGCATTTTAAATGGAGTTGTTTAACGTATGTATGGAATGACTGTTAGGATATTGACAGAAAGCATTATCTACATTTTTTTACTTTTTTTTTTTTTTGCCGTGTGATATGTTAGATGGAATTGCGTCATCAAAGGCTACATAAATCGAAGTTGAGCTAAATTCTTTTCCATGAGATGACCAGAAACACATTACTAATTCCATTGGATATCTTTTGTTTTGCAGTGGATTATGAGTAGCAGACGAAGAATTCATGAAAGAACAAGTGAGGTTTATTAGCTCATCTTTCTGGTGAGGCAGTGTTGCGGTTGATTTATCGAACTGTGCACTGATCTGTACAGTCTTAGACTCTTGTTAATTTCCGTTATTTTAACCAGTGTATAAAAGTCTCCTTTTTCTCTTTTCCCTCCTCTTTCGATGGTTGTGATATAGTCGGCTTTCCCAAACCTTAAGAAGGTTTCATTGAAATTCCTGTAGTACGTGTTTGAACTTGAATTGATGGGGCATAACATCTACATTTCAAAGCGACCCGAGTTCCATACAATCATACAAATAGGTGATACACTTCTTTTTGACGAGGCCACAAAATCATACATATCTGAGAGTGGTATTACAGGTTCCGAATCATGGAAGGAGAGAAGACTACAAAAGGACTACTCAGTTCGCAGTTGTAAAAGTTTACCACTTGCACTGAACCAGACGAAAATCATAGGAGGAAAATGATGGTTTCAAATTTCTGTTCACACATGAGCTTGAACATAGAGGAGAAAGTGTGGATTCATTATGATTTTTCTCAACGGGTTTACAAACTTATCTCAGGTTTTACCCGGCTAAATCTCAAGACATGTTGGCTTAAGGCCACAAAAGAACCCAACCGATGAGTAAATATTAGGTATAACGGTAACATCACGTCACATGTGGTGTCACTATCTAATAATAAACTTATACATGGGTAAAATAAACCGCACTTTAGTAGTTATTAAATGACATGACATGGTAGTTATTATAATATGTGAGATCAACCTGTTTATTTGTTATGTTTTTATTGAATGGTAACACAACATAACAACAATGACAACAATGACGTGGTATCACCGAAAAGGGGCGACCAGGATGTTAATGGAATGGGCATGGAACTCTAAAAGCTTTCAAGCTGTGAGCTTGTTGGAAATGGTCCTTCTACCCTGGCATCATATAATCCATAGCATTGGTAACATGGTGGGAGAAAAAAAAACTACAATGCTTAAAATTGCTCATAGCAATCATAGAAATAGGCCACAGAATTCTGTAATGCAATTTAGTGTATCATCCTGTGATACAATTTCTTTCTCACCTTTCCCTCAACTATTATCATATAAATTCACGGACGGCGCCAAGCCTTGGACCGTCTTGTCAAATTTATTGACCATCTACAATCAAATTTGAATATTTGACTTTCATCTTAAACTTCTTTTTCATAGATTCTGGCTCAAGCTCATCTAACTATGAATCAAATCAACAGCTGAGCTACTCATACCTATTATCAAAAGCAAGGAATACTCAAGGTAGAAGTCTCCCCGCCAAGTAGAGAGATAGGTTATCCCTCATATCTGAAGCAGTCTTGTCGACAGATTGACAAATCTCTTGCTGGTACCCTGGGTCATGGTGGTGAGATAGAGGCAAATCGTCCAAAACATCGTCTTCCATGTCAATAATAATATTATGAAGAATGCAGCAAACGAGGATAATCCTTGGCAACCTATGCTTGTCTGGTCTCCACATCACTCCTTGTATCATCCTCCAAACCTCTTTTAACCTTGCCAATGCTCTTTGTGCCACCATCCGAGTTGCAAAATGGCGCTTGTTGAACTCAGCTTTGGACTCTGATAATTCTTTCCCTTGGTAAGGTGTGACAAGCCAAGGCAGCAAAGGAAAGCCTGAATCCCCAACTATGTATTCCCTCAATTCTGTTCCTTCTGATAGCTTTATATTGTTCCCGTTTAATCTCTCTCCCTCCTCACAGAGCTTGAAGATACTTGAGCTTTGGAGCACTGAACAGTCATTCATTTTCCCTGGCCATCCAGTTACTATGTCTCGGAACCTCATCTCGGGGTCCACAATTGCCTGCAAAATCATGCTATGATTCTCCCTGCGATCGAGCCACACATCAGTTCCATGTTCAGATGAGGATAATAACATTGTTATATGAGTGCTATCAATTGCACCAGAACAATTTGGAAGTCCTCGAATTTTTTCAAACTTTGATCTTATATCTGTCATTTCTCGTTCTGTGGAAGGCCACTGGAGGTGCTGAAGCCCTCTTTCTTCAATGGCCTCTACAAAACGCCAGGTCACTTGAGAGACAGTCGAATGGTTCGTCCCAAATGAATCACCAACTGCTATTAGTGAGTCACCAGAGCTTAGCCTTCTTAAAGCTAGAGCTACTTGAGCACTTAATGACATTGGCTTGCCATTAGTAAACATGAAGTTTGCTGATTTGGCCATCATGTGTTCCTTCACAAGTGAACATATGTAGTCAAAAGTTTTCCTGGACATCTTGAAGACAGATACAAACTTGTCCAGACCCTTCGATGGAGATACAAGACCTGAAAGAATTGGGAGGTTGGGGGTGTGAGGGACAAGCCATTCTTAAATTTGAATGCTCATATTTAACTTCCATGTTCTTCACATGAAACACTACAACAAATGTCGCAAGCCCTATCTGAACTACAACAAGAATGGCATTAAATCACAAGATATCATTCCCGAATCCAACATTTCAAAGAGTAGAGAATTCTGCCTTCCAAACTGTATGTTGGATAAGAATGGAATCAGACAGAAGAAGAACAATACAGACAGTATATGTTGTTATGCACAGTGCATTTAGGCTGATGGAAGAGGCAAGGGACAACCAAACTAATTAAGAGTTGTGGAATTGGCATAATGAAGACATAAATAAGTCTAGAACACGCCAATGAATTAAACCAATAAAGAGGAAAATAGAAGCAACTTACCTTACGCAATGTGATAACACAGTTATTTGTTACAATTATCAAAGCATAAAGATCGACTCAACCCAAGAATATCTTGACCAGCTACTTGGGGTGAATCCCATTTCTCAATCCAGCTCTGCGAGGGATGTATACTTTGTTTTGTCATCAAGCTTACTCAATTTTGGTCATTGTACATCACTCAGCAGTTTTTGATAAATGATGAATGATTTATCATTACCGTGTACTGCAAAAACTGATTCATAATCAACAGGATTTGAACAAATTCAAAGCAATTGAAATGTTGGACTTGCTTTTCCATATTATAAATCAGTTTGTCACTGTGTTGGTTTTTGACTCCCATTTCCTTGAATTGGTCAAGCATATCAACTACAAGAACCATCTTCCAATTGCCCTTATACACCATCCCTTTGGGCCAGAACTTTAGATAACTACTGCCCTTGGTTCTTCTTTCTCTTTCCCACCAAGAGAGAAGTTGGTAAACCCATCACTTTTGCAGCAATGCCTTCCCTTGTTAAATTTATCTCACCTAATCTTCTTTTAAAACAGTGTTAATTGGAAATCCAAACATTCAGGAAGTGATAAGCTTATTTCAGTCCTATAGAAGTATTTACCTGAATCTAGTAAAGTTTGACTGTTCATAGGGATTCCTGCAATACTGAAATCCCGCCCCTCTAGAATTTTTTATTCCTTTTTACATAAATAATTTTTTTTACTGCCATTCAGGTTCTATGAAATCATTCAACTGTGGAAGGACTATTTAAACAAACAGTAAAATAGCAAATTACTTCTGAAGTTTAAAAAGCCATAGAGAAGAGCATGCCAATTTGTCATTCCGGTTTCTTTGACAAATTAGATATTTTTCTTTGGTGCTATGGAATTAGAAATAGTCACCTAGGTGCAAAGTACAAAAACAGCACGGATTAAATACGCATATTTCAAAATTGGCTAAAAACATCTAAAAGAGCAAATGTGTATGAGTAAATATGATATGAGATGTGATCAGAGCAGCATAGCTTCAACAGGCGTGTCTGAAACTCTTGCAATAAACGATGCCATCTAATAAAAAGAGCAATTCCATGAAGTTGAAACTATGAAATTGTTATTAGGGTTGAAGAAAAGGAGGAAGAGAGAGAAAACAAAGCAGAAAAGGAAGAAATATATGTGTAGGCTCTCTTATTTATAATAAACTGATACTGTAGGTAAATACATTAAAAATAAGAGTTTGAACACTCTCCCTCAAATTGGAGCATAAGGATCAAGTTACCCAACTTAGAACAAAGATTAGTGAGGACAAATAGAACCAATGGTTTAGTAAGGATGTCACTCAGCTAATCACTAGACTTGATGTATGATGTGATACTCTCTTTTTCGCATATAAAAATCTCGAATAAAATGACAATCCCCTTCAATATATTTAATCCTCTCATGAAATATTGGATTACTGGTAATGAAAATAATTGTTTGTATCTCCATAGGAGGGGGCACACTGATACCTATATCATGAAGTAGAATACAAACCCACAACATCTCACACGTAGTATGAGTCATGGCCTAGTATTCAACCTCAGCACTCCAAAGTGCAACTACATTTTGTTTCTTATTGCACCACATAACAAGATTACCACCAATAAATATACACTAACCTGAACTAGTTCATCTATCAATACGACTACTTGCCTAGTCAACATCAGAAAAACTAGTAATAGTCATGGATGATAAAAGACGATATAATAATCATTTACCCGGTGTTCTTTTCAGATATCGAAGAATATGATAGATAGCTTCTCACATAGTCTTACGAAGAGCATGCATGAACCGACTAACAATATCAACAACATAGGTAATATCAGGATGTGTTACTATAAGATAAATCAGTTTACCAACTAACCTCTGATAGCGCCATACATCATCAACAACTTTGTCTTTCGAAGGATCTAACTTAACTATAGAGTACATGGGAGTATCAGTTTAAATGTGCACCACGAGTACCAGTTTTAGTCAATAAATTTAATACATACTTTCGTTAGCACAAATCGATTCCTTCCTTTAACCGAGTAACCTCAATCCCAAGAAAATATAGAAAAAGACCTAAGTCTTTTAATATGAAATTGTTTCCCTAAATGGATCTTGAAGTGGGCAACTGAAGTATAGTAGTACTAAACTTACCAAACTAACCGCGTGGTGATTGTTTTAGGCCATATAGTGTTTTTTTCAAAAAACACACTAATTGTTTCTTACCAGATGCAACATAACCTAGAAGTTATACTATATACACCTCCTCCTGTAAGTCTCCATGTAAAAAAATATTCTTAATGTCCAGGTAATACAAAGGTCAATCACAACTAACTAAAACAGAAATAAAACTCTAACACATGACTTTCAGATTACATGAAAAAATTTGAAGCTTCTAGGGTTAGCATGGTTCCCGCATCCTATTGCATTTCTCCATTGAAGCTAGGGATAATTGAGACAAAAATAGAAGCAACCACCAGAAAATCAGCATTGCAGCAAT